TATATATATATATCCACAGCAATAAACACTAACATAAATTGAGTACGTATTTGCGAAAACGCCTATACCATCAGTATTACTACTACTTTTACCAATAAGCTCAAATTACAGGTAGGGAAATCAAGGCATGTGGGGCACTTTGACGCACAGCTAGAGGGTGGTAGAGTGCAGTTTCTATCTCAGCTGTTGCTTACAGCACCTGTTTTCTCCCATCCAGCTTCCCACCAACTATGTTCTATCAAGTCTGGTTTCAGCTTTCAAGTGCACCAATAACCTGAAACCATAACACTGTTAGGAACCACCCAGCCTCAAGCATTGCTATGGTCAGCTGCACTAAACACACTAGATCACAGGTATCCAGCTACAAAGTCAGTCAACCAGTGAATACAAATTTTACTGCTAATTTAAGCAATTTAAATCAAAGTCACTAGCGTCTTCAGGTACTTGTTCAGTATTCAGGGGTGTCTGCTGGAAGCTAGTGATCTGGTGACTTCCTGAAGGGAATGGAAGAGATTTTCCTAAAGTGACTTTGTGGGGGAAACACCACACCTCTCCCCATTGCCGCCTGGCCGCCTCGAGGTCCCTTTCCCACCTGTCCCCAATGACCCTTCCTGGAGTGTGGCTGTCCCCAAAGAGGAAACACTTTCTAGTTCCAGCCATTTGCACCAAGGTTGAAATGAGCTCTGGATTCTGATTCTGGTGGCGAAGTTTGGCTGGAGAAAGGAAGAAGCTAGGCATGGTGAATTTGGGGTGAAAATGGAAGCCTCGGTGAAGGAGCCTCGGACCTAACTAAGCTGCACAGGTGGAAACCATATTCTCTCTGCACTGCTGGGATCTCCAGGAATGTTCCCTTCTGAAGACACGAAGGATAAAGGGTATTTTTTTTTTTTTTGGTTTTTACGAGACAGGGTTTCTCTGTATTGTTTTGGAGGCTATCGGTCCAGCCCAGCCTCGAACTCACAGAGATCCGCCTGCCTCTGCCTCTGCCTCCCAAGTGCTGGGATTAAAGGCGTGCGCCACCACCGCCTGGCAGATAAAAGGTATCTTGCGCACTAAAGTATTGAAGTCCATCTCTCACTTCTGTTTGGCATTGCTGTTTTTGCAAACCTCAGTTGGTGTGTTTCATCTTGCTGCTACCTGCAGGGGCAAATAAGCCTGATATTCTTCTCTCCCTTCTCCCTCTCCACTGCCCACTACTGCTCACTAGCCTACACTGGTGTGATTTTAGTTGGCCATAAGAGGATTTCCACCTTCTCAGTTTCTAGGGGCCGAGTTGCGTTAAGAATGGACTCTTCATCTGCAAGAGGAAGGGAACACATCCAAATCTTGCCTCCTCAGAGGGGCCAGCCTCAATGGGCGTCTCTCCTAAGACACCCCACAGCTCACAAAATCACCAGGATCACGCACTCAGAGTGCTTGTCTATGATGTTCTTCCCCCTAGGTCTCTCTCTGTTTTTTGTTTCTAGAAGGTTCATACAGGTGTTGCAAAGGAGCCACATACCTTTCAGGTAACAGTGAAAGATCCAAGTGGCAGGCAGATGCTGGTAATCTCACCTCCCTGTAAAGGGGACGGCTGTGAAGTGTTAGTCCCTGAGGCTTAAGACTCTTCACATGGACTGGCAGCTGAACTCAGGAAGCGGGGTGCAGCTCATGAATGACAGAAATATTCACCCGCCTTCCACCTTAGGATATAAGCTATTGGCTCTGCCCTTTGTTATAAATACCAGAATAGACAGAACAAAATGAGGAAGTCTCTGTCATATCCTGTCTCTGTGAGGAAAAAAATCACATGCTAAATTCTCATAGAAAATGTCTCTCCAGGGTCTTAGAAAGAGGCCAAAGGTACCTGAGAACTTTATTAGAACAAGGTGCATCTGCAGAGGCTAAGAGTGGAGAAAGAATGCCCGAGCTGGCCCTCCAGGAGTGCTGGGTAGGTAAAGCTGGATATCAAGGGGGCAGAATGGCTGTCTCAGGCTAGCTCCTCTCTCTGCCTAGTCACATTGAAAGAGGCAGAGACTGGGCTGAAATTTCCATTAAAAACTGGGACGTGCTTGTGTGCCCAGCTCCATTATATCCCTCTTCAGGGAAACACCAGCAAGGAAATAGCCTGGGAACTTTGCCACAAGCAGACTTACAACAGCTGTTCATATACAGCTTGGAACAGTGGGGTGTCAACATTTCTCTGGTGAAGCAGAACTCCACATAAAGCTGAATGGGAAGAGCAGGGAGGCCTGCTAGAGGTGGAGAATCCACTCCTCTCTTGAGTTTGTTATCGAAAGTGTGTCCACCTCTTCAAGTATCTCCAGTCCTCTATCTGCATCATCAATGGCATCCTTGTCTGTCTCATTTCTGTCAGTCAGCACTCTTTCCCAAGATCCTGCTCAAAATTCCTGCCTCTGATGGGTAAATTCTTCCTGTGTGCATGCCTCTTCCTTCTGAGTCTTCATAAGGGGGTCTCTGAGACCACCAAGGCCAGAAGAGTCGTGGTCTATAGGAGGCAAGAAGATAATTTGGTTCAACACAACTAATAAGTCCATGTTAATTCAAACTTTGGAAGTCTGACCCCAAGTAGTTTATTTTAGACATATTAAAGCACAGCACAATTTGGTGGAATTTTTTTCTGGTGATAATTATTTCAATCCTGTGTGTACAATAAAGCATAAAGTAAGCTAAATAAGTACCAGACAGGAACACATCAAAATTCTTTGTAAAGTATCGAGTGACATCTTCAATAAAGATGGTTTCTAGTTCCTTCTGCTTTACCCTCTCTAGGATCTTCTGGTCTGGGGACTGCAGCCAGGTCTACTCGCCCCTGGAGGACCAAGCAACCAGGAACCTACTAAGAGTGCCAGTCTACTCCCAACCCCCCTCAGGGCAGAGGGCAGAAGTAATGAAAGACCCCTACCCAGGACCCCCTAGGAAAAGAAAAGCAAGGCCAGGCCGTTGCCTAATGAAAGAAACCCAGACCAGGTGCCTCGCCCAGCTGGCAGGATATCAAACAGGATCTGTGGTCACCAGAGCAGTCATGGGACCCAGATAATAATTGCTGAAGCGTGCCAGGGTCTTTTATGTGGCAATACCAGGACACCTAGTCCTTGGCAACTACCCTTGCCCCCAGTTGTGTCTATGATCACCATAGTAGTCATGGGGCCCGGATAATAATTGCTGAAGCATGCCGGGGTCTTTCATAAAGTAATACCAGGAAACTTAGTCCGTGGGAACTACCCCTGCCCCCAAGATGAGCCAATGAAATGCCTGTTACTTATGTAACCATTAAAACTCTATAAATATTGTACTCCCTGCAAACCCGGTATGCTCTGCACCCAAGTTGCAGTAGCATCCGCAGGCGCCTGTGTACTCAATAAATCACCTCTTGCATTTGCAGCCAGTGGTCTGGCCCCGGTTCTTGGGCAGAGGGTTCGGTTCAGTGCCCAGCGCTTTGATGCCGAGGTCTTTCAGTAAGCTCCAGCACCCTTTGGTCCCGACTTACTTCCTCTTGCCCTCTCTGGGATCTCCTGGCCTGGGGACTGCAGGCAGGTCAACTTGTCCCAGCTCACCAAGCAACCTCGAGTCTTCACTGTGCTAATCCAGCTCCTACCCACCAGAGACCCATCAGAATGTTGGACCTGCTTGCACCCACTGGAAGAGAACCTTGGACCCGTACCCACCAGGAAAGGAAGAAACTCCACCTATACCCACTAGAAGAAAGGATGGAAAGATGACAATATAAGAACACATCCAACAACAGAAAAACCAATACGATGCCACCAGAGTCTAGGGACTGTACACCAGCAAGACCTGAGTATCCCAACACAGATGAAGCAGAAGAGAACAACCTTAAATATAACTTTGTGAGGATGATAGAGACCCTGAAAGAGGAAATGAGAAAATCCTTTAGAAAATGGAAGAAAAGACAAACCAAAAATTGCAAGAAACAATTCAAACAATGCAAGGTTTGAAAGCTGAAACAGAGACAATAAAAAACATAGTATAAAGGAAGTCTGGAATTAGAAAAGGTGAGTAAACGATCAGGAACTACAGATGCAAGCATAACAAACAGAATACAGGAGTTAGAAGAGAGAATCTCAAGTGCTGAAGATTCACTAGGAGAAATAGGTTCATCGACCAAAGAAAATCTTAAGTCCAACAAATCCATAACATAAAATATCCAGGAAATATGGAACACTGTGAAAAGGCCAAATCTAAGACTAATAGGGATAGAAAAAGGTGAAGAAACCCAATTCAAAGGTGCAGAAAAAAACGTTCAACAAAATCATAGAAGAAAATTTCCCCAATGTAAAAAAGACATGCCAATGAAAGTACAAGAAGCCTACAGAACACCAAATAGAGTGAACCACAAAAAAACAGCCCCCTCGCCACATAATAATCAAAACCCCAAACATACAGAACAAAGAAATAATATTAAGAGCAACAAAGGAAAAAAGCTAAGTAACATATAAGGGCAAACCTAGCAAAATCACACCTGACTTCTCCATGGAAACTCTGAAAGCCAGAAGGTCCTGGATAGATATTCTACCAACACTAAAAGACCAAGGATGCCAGCCCAGTCTACTATACCCAGCAAAGCTCTCAATGACTATAGATGGAGAAAACAAGATATTCCACAGTAAAACCAGATTTAAACAATACATATTCACTAATCCAGCCCTACAGAAAGTCCTGGGAGGAAAACTTCAACCAAAGGAAGGTAACTATGCTCACAAAAACATAGGCAATAGATAACCCTACTTTACCAAAAGCCAAAAGAAAAAGTGGGGTAAATCCACAGACAATAATACCAACAACAACAAATGAAAACAAACAAGAATTAACACTCAACAGTCCTTAATTTCCGTCAATATTAATGGTCTTAATTTGCCTATAAAAAGACACAGGCTAACAGAATGGATACAAAGACAGAATCTATCCTTTTACTGCATACAAGAATCACATCTCAACTTCAAAAACAGACATTACCTCAGAGTAAAGGGTTGGGATAAGATTTTCCAATCAAATAAACACAAGAAACAAGCTGGTATAGCTACCCTACTATCGAACAAATTAGACTTAAACTAAAATCAATCAAAAGAGATGAAGAAGGTCATTTCATATTCATCACAGGAAAAAATCCATCAGGAAGAAGACTCAGTTCTGAATATCTGTGCCCCAAAAACAAAGACGCCTACATTCATAAAAGAAATGTTACTAAAACTCAAATCACACATAAGACCCTCACCACTAGACAGGACCACCAGACAGAAACATAACAAAGAAACAAAGGAACTAAAAGAAGTTATGACCCAGTTAGGTTTAATAGACATCTATAGAACATTGCATCCAAACACAAAAGAATATACCTTCTTCTCAGCGCCACATGGGACTTTCTCTAAAATAGACCACATACTTGGCACCATAGCAAACCTCAACAGGTACAAAAAATGGAATAATCCCCCATATCTTATCAGATCACCATGCTTTAAAGTTGGAATTCAACAACAACACAAATTGCAGAAAGCCTACAAACTCATGGAAATTGAACAATGCACAATTGCACTATTCCTGGGTCAAGGAAGAAATAAAGAAAGAAATAAAAGACTTCCTAGAATTCAATGAACATGAAGACATATCATACCCAAACTTACAGGACACTTTGAGAGCAGTACTAAGAGGAACGTTCATAGCTCTAAGTGCTCATATGAAGAGACGGGAGAATAGTTACTCTAGAGAATTAAGGGCACAACTGAAAGCTCTAGAACAAAAAGAAGCAAACTCACCATGGAGGAGTAGAAGCCAAGAAATAATCAAATTGAGGGCTGAAACCAATAAAGTCGAAACAAAGAATCAATGTAACAAAGAGTTGATTCTTCAAGAAAATCAACAAGATAGGCAAAACTTTATCCAAACTAACCAAAAGGCAGAGAGAGAACATGCAAATTAACAAAATCAGGAATGAAAAGGGGGACATAACAACGGACACTGAAGAAGCCCAGAGAATCTTCAAGTCATACTTTGAAAACCTATACTCCACTAAATTGAAAAATTTAAAGGAAATGAACAATTTTCTGGATATCACCTGCCAAAGTTAAATCAAGAACAGATAAGCAATTTAAATAGGCCCATAACCCCTAATGAAATAGAAGGAGTCATCAAAGTCTCCCAACCAAAAAAATCCCAGGCCCAGATGGCTTCAGTGCAGAATTCTACCAAAAATTCAAAGAAGAGCTAATTCCAATACTCCTCAAAGTGTTCCACACAATAGAAGCAGAAGGTTAGTTGCCAAACTCTTTTTACAAGGCTACAATTACCTTGGTACCCAAGCCACATGAAGATACAAATAAGAAAGAGAACTACAGACCAATATCCCTCATGAACATTGTTGCAAAAATACTCAGTAAAATACTGGCAAATCAAATCCAAGAACACATCAGAAAAATCATTCAACATGATCAAGTAGGCTTCATTCTAGGGATGTAGGGATGGTTCAACATACAAAAATCTATCCATGTAATTCACCATATAAACAAACTGCAAAAGAAAAACCACATGATCATCTCACTTGATGCAGAAAAAGTCTGTAACAAAATCCAACATCTTTTCATGATAAAGGTCCTGGAAAAATCAGGGATAACAGTTACATACCTGAACATAATAAAAGCAATATACAACGTTGATTCCCAAACTGGGGAAGGGCTGAGCAAATAGCTGAGGCTAGGGAGCCAGACAGGCATCATCGACCACTATGAGCTGCATGATCCTATCGAGAAGATCCTGCTGGAGTGGTTGCGGGAGCCCCATGAGGCAGCAGAGTCACTGGTGGACCAGTTGTCTGGCTGCACCGGCGGGTGGCAGCGATGGGAAGGCAGGTGCCGTGCTGCTGGAGCAGTATCAAGAGGATGCACCCGAGGTGAAGGACATGTCTAAATATAAACCTCACATTCTGCTGTCTCAAGAGAATACCCAAATTAGAGACTTTGCAGCAGGAAAACAGAGAACTGTGGGTTTCCTTGGAGGAACACCAGGATGCTTTGGAACACATCATGAACAAGTACCCGAAACAGATGTTACAGTTAATGATTGCTAAAAAAGCGGTGGATACCAAACTAGTTCTGAAAGCTCACCAGTCCCACTCTGCAGATATTGAAAGTCAGATTGATAGAATCTGTGAAATGGTAGAAGTGATGAGGAAAGTAGCTCAGGTGGATGATAATCAGTTTTGCAAGATTCAGAAAAACTAGCTCTACTAGAACTTGAAAGTAAGGAGCTCCGAGAGTTACTGTCCATCAGCAGTGAGTCTCTTCAGGTTGGAAAGGAAAATTCTGTGGATCCTGCTTCCCAGCCCATCAAATAACTGAACTGAATGATGGCTGCTGATGGCCCGACCAGGGGAGGAGTGACTGCCTCTCCCTAAGATGTGTCCATTCACGTGTGTGCCGCAGACTTGAGGCGGTGTTGATCAGAGGGACGAGATGGCAGTTCGGAATTGCCACTTGCTGGTCATTACCCACAAAACAATTTGGGGTATATTGTTGCACCCTTCCCCCATGGGGATCTGCTGACATGCTTGAGACTAGGAGCTTCTAGCAAAACACCTCTGTTCCCTCCTCCCAGTAAGTTCTGCATGCAAGTTCCTGTTTTATGTCCATCCTTATTGTCTAAATGCTAATTCCTGTTTTTGGCCTACCCTTTGCTGGTGGGCCCTGGGAACGTAGACTTCTGACCTTGGCAGTTTTCCACCATGCCTGTCACTGGTAAATAAGGCTCCACCCTTGTTAAAATAAGCGTCATTCTCCTTATAAGAATGAGTCTCTGTCTTTGTCTTCATTTACATCCTTAGCCCTTCTCTTGGATCGTTGTGAAGTGTTGTAGGGCGGTAACCATGAACACCAACTCGCTAAAGTATATTAGTAAAATAGAGGTGTCTCACCATTCCTTTGTCAGAAATTACGTTTAGTTTGACTCTGGGACCCGGATTTATATAAACTGTCAGAAATTACGTTTAGTTTGACTCTGGGACCCGGATTTATATAAACTGTTTTCAGTTCATTTTTGTTTTTCATATCTCTGAAATTCCGAACATTTTATTATAAACCAGTGATTTTATTTTATATAGGATTATAAAATTTCTAAGAATTTTTTAGATCAAGCTTTTAAAAAGTACATGTGAAAGACCCCAACCCAGGGCCCCCAAAGAAAAGAAAACCAAGGCCAAGCCATTGCTTACTGAAAAAACCCAGACCAGGTGCCTCGCCCAGCTGGCGCCTCAAACAGGATGTCAAACAGGATGTCTGCAGTCACCAGAGCAGTCATGGGACCCGGATAATTGCTGAAGCGTGCCATATTTACATCTTGTGGTAATACCAGGAACCTAGTCCTTGGCAACTACCCCTGCCCCCAAGATGACCTTAGCCTGCGCTTAAGTAGCCAATGAAATGCCTGTTGCTATGCTGATACTTATGTAACATATATATATATATATATATATACACACACATATATATATATATATATATTGTGCTCCCTGCAAGCCCAGTATGCTTTGCACCCGTGTTGCAGTAGCATCCGCAGGCGCCTGTGTACTCAATAAACCACCTCTTGCTTTTGCATCCAGTGGTCTGGCTCCGGTTCTTGGGCAGAGGGTTCGGTTCAGTGCCGGGGTCTTTCACGTTTGGTGTAAAGCTGGATTTCTTTTTCCACTTCAAAAGTAACTTGGGTCACAGAAGCAGACTGTCAGACCTTCTGAATTACATCACTACCTGTGGAGTTTGACTTTGCTCTAGTGCTAGGAGCTGGCACTTCATAGTCAGGTGTCTTCGCTCTTAATTTAAGAGAATCTATTAGTAGTCCCCCAGGAAATATACTTGAAAGCAAGTCACCTAGGTTTGGGTTGTTTCTCCTCCTCCCCTCAAGGATCACTCAGTCATTCAGAGAATTCTGAGGGACTTGGACGTGCCCTGTCATGTACAGCCCCACGTGAACACTTGATTTAAATGCCAACAGTAGCTTTTATTTATTTGGTCAAGTAGTCAGTTTTCCGTTTTGTTTGACTAGGGAATCTTCAGCTTAGGTGGTTTGCCAACTATGAAGAACATATCAGATTTCCCCACGTCATAGTTGAAACACAGCTGTGATAACAAAGAATGGTACTGCTTGGATGGCTTATCACCGGCAGGAGTAATCTGCTGTTTTAGATCTGTTTGGTTTTTACATGGAAGCACTTTTATCACCCACAGAAAGTTACTATGTTTCTGATGCCATGCAGGCAATTGAGAACAATACCGAGATTTGAGATTCCGGTGCAGGGAGGATCTACTAATTCCTTTGTTAATCTTCCCTGTCTTGGTTTACTCAAATTTATAAATAATTCCTTTTACACTATTTGTTTGCCCAAAATGGCTGAGGAAATATTAATGCTGTCAATATTTGCTGATACTAAGCACCATACCGCAGGAGAAAGATTGTCTTAAAAGAAAAAGTGTTTTATGTGTTGTAAAGCTTCTTTGGTATGGTCAAAAGAACTAATTCCAGCTAAAGCAACAAAATCTATCCAGAATGTTCTGAGTCCATCTGATCCCATTAATACCTATGGACTTTAACTACAGTAGTGGGCAGCTCCAGCTGTATGCCTTGAAGGACCTCTAAGTGCCCGAAGTGTACTCCACAAGCCCCCCAGGAGCAGGTGATCTCTGCCACTCATCAGCTGGCAGTCAGTGAAAATGGTAGTGTTAGCATACAGTCTGTTTCGGCAATGGACACAGTACACTTCATCTGCCTTACGTTCCTCTTTACATCTTAGCCACTAGAATCTCTTCCTTCTAGTCCTGGGGATATACTGAGCTTCCAGTGTCCTGTGTCCTATAAATTCTGTCTGGTGTTAATGCTGTGAAGGTAATACAAAGTAGCATATTGAATGGAGAAAGGAATGTTCTTCATTTTGTGTGAAGGTGCTAGTGTCTCTTGCAGTGGATGGAAGAATATAGTGTATGAAATTTTAGGATGAAATTGTCTTTGCTAATAAAAACCTCTTTTGGGGGAAAAAATAAAAGCAATATACAGTAAACCAACAGCCAACATTAAACTAAATGGAGACAAACTCAACGCAATTCCTCTAAAATCAGGAACAAGACAAGGCTGTCCACTGTCTCCATAACTCTTCAGTATTGTACTTGAAGTTCTAGCTAGAACAATAAGACAACAAAAGGAGATCAAGGGGATACAAATTGGAAAGGAAGAGGTCAAACTTTCACTATTTGCAGATGATATGATAGTTTACATAAGTGACCTGAAAAACTCTACACAAGAACTCCTACAACTGATAAACACCTTCAGCAAAGTGGCAAGATACAAGATCAACTCAAAAAAATCAGTAGCCCTATTATATACAGACGATAAGTGGGCTGAGAAAGAAATCAGAGAAACATCACCCTTTACAATAGCCACAAACCACATAAAATATCTTGGGATAATGCTAACAAAACAAGTGAAAGACCTGTATATCAAGAACTTTGAATGTTTACACAAAGAAATTAAAGAAGACACCAGAAAATGGAAAGATCACCCATGCTCTTGGATAAGTAGGATCAACATAGTAAAAATGCCAAAAGCAATCTACAGATTCAATGGAATACCCACTAAAATCCCAGCACAATTCTTCACAGACTTGAAAGAACAATAATCAACTTTATATGGAAAAACAAAAGACCCAGGATAGCCAAAACAACCCTGTACAATATAGGAACTTCCAAAGGCATCATCATCCCTGACTTCAAGCTCTATTATAGAGCTGGAGTCTTGAAAACAGCTTGACATTGGAACAAAAATAGATAGGTAGACCAATGGAATTGAATTGAAAACCTTGATAAACCACACACCTATGAATACTTGATTTTTGACAAAGAAGCTAAAATTATACAATGGAAAAAAGAAAGCATCTTCAACAAATGGTGCTGGCATAACTGAATGCTGACATGTAGAAGACTGCAGATAGATCCATGTCTATTGCCATGCCCAAAACTTAAATCCAAATGGGTCAAAGACATCAACATAAATCCAGCCACACTGAACCTCTTAGAAGAGAAAGTGGGAGGTACCCTTGAATGAATTAGTACAGGAAACTTCTTCCTGAACATAACATCAGTAGCACAGACACTGAGATTGACAATTACTAAATAATACAGAAACTGAGAAGCTTCTGTAAGGCAAAGGACACAGTCAAAAAGACAAAAAGGCAGCCCACAGAATGGGAAAAGATATTCACTAATCCCACATCTGACAGAAGGATGATCTCCAAAATTTACAAAGAACTCAAGAAGCAAGTCTCCAAAACACCAAAGGATCCAATTAAAAAGTGGGGTACATCGAGCCATTGCCATAGGACAACAAAAGGGGATCAAGGGGATGCAAATTGGGAAGGAAGAGGTCAAACTTTCACTATTTGCAGATGATATGATAGTTTACATCAATGACCCAAAGAACTCTACCAGGGAACTCTTACAGCTGATTAACACCTTCAGCAAAGTGGCAGGCTACAAGATCAACTCAAGAAAATCAGTAGCCCTAATATATACAGATGATAAAAGGGCTGAGAAAGAAATCAGAGAAACATCACCCTTTACAATTGCCACAAACAACATAAAATACCTTGGGGTAATGCTAACCAAACAAGTAAAAGACCTGTTTTGCAAGAACTTTGAATCTTTAAAGAAAGAAATTAAAGAAGCTCTCAGAAAATGGAAAGATCTCCCATGCTCTTGGATAGGTAGGATCAATGTAGTAAAAATGGCAATCCTGCCAAAAGAAATCTACAGATTCAATGCAATCCCCATTAAAATACCAGCACAATTCTTCACAGACCTTGA